TTCTTTATCACATGCTTATTACTGTACCCTTTTTGCAATTCAATACATTTTGTTCCAAAATAAGTTGCTATTACACCACAGTATAGCAAACTGTTAGCATTATCAGCAGATATAACACACTTTATATATAAATAAATAAATAACACAACAATATATATACAGCTCGGGATCTCTACTACCAGAAATCAACAGAAGAATTAAGTTAGCATGAAATACTTATGGAAGAAACCTAATCATATTCAAATCTAGAATGCCACTCTATATCTAAAGAAGAAAACATTCGATCAATGTGTACTACCAGTCCTATGCATGCGAAACCTGGACACTTATAACGGACATCATAAGGAAACAGCAGGTCGCACAACGTTCAAGGGAACGAAATATGCTGGGAATAACCAAGAGACACCGTAAAAGAATAGAGTGGATACGAGAAAAGACAATTTAATGGATGTCATCCACAGAGTCAAATCGGCAATAGACAGGACACCTGGCAAGAAGAAAGGATAACAGTTGAACCACAAAAATTACAGCATGGTACCCACGAGGAATTAAGAGACTTTAAAGAAAACCATGATATTAGGAAATTAGCAGGGATAACTTGGGCCCGCATAGTCAACAATGGGCTCAACTACAAAGGGAGTATGTGAGGGAGGCTACACCATAATTGGAAATGGTTGAATAAGCTGAAAATGATGATATAACCAAATTTAATCATCTAACAATTATAGATAAGAATATCTCTTTTCAATTTTCAAATTCCTGTACAAAAATTACTCTACTTTGTCTGCGGTTCATCGTTCCAGTTGGCATGTGGGGTCTTTGTCGGCAAAATAACCTCAACAAAACGCACCATTTCCTACGTGTGTGTATTGGTGAGTGCGCGCATGTGTTTTGCTTCAAAAGAATCGAATGTATGTTCCTCGAAACGTGAGCGAACTCAACAAGAAGTTTCGCATCGTCCGCCCGCCATGTCCAGCTGAAATATGGCCCGTTTCGCTATTTTTTTCTCCTTCAAAATAACTTTATTAGTTCTCGGGATATTTCTTAAGACGGGTGTTATTGTTATACAGGGTGCTCCAAATTGTATTTCGCAGAAAACTTCGGCAGCATAATCACCAGATAAAAATTAAAAAAAATCGTATAGATGTTTGTCCTAAAATGCTCAGTTTTGGATATACAGGGTGTAGAAGTTTTATTTTTATTTCGATTTTTTCCAAATAATTTCTGAGCTAACGTCGATATTTGGATGAAAATTTGTGTTTTTGACATGATAAATTTGATTTCGATGTCAATATGACTCCTACTTGTATGGGGCCCTACGTACATGTTTTTAACTCATTTGAAGAGTAACAGCTTCTCGTTCGTACCTGTATTAAGGTACTGAGTGAAAAGATATAAATTTTCGCCGTTTCTTAAGCGGCCTTCACACGATCAATACTATTGCCAATATTAAAGAATTAAATAAAAGATATCGTCTAAAAGAACAATTTTTGCACGAAAATGTTTAAGTTTTCTTAAATTAAATATTATTTTTTAATAACTTTTTGAGTACTTGATATTTTCAGGTTATTTGTAAATGAAATGGGTTATTATATGATTTCCTTATAATCTGATCTGATTTCTAAAAATATTTAACGGAGATACATCACTTAATAAGCTTCTATTTATTAGATTTTCTTGTTAGAAAATCCCATAATTGCCTCTAAATGGATTGGTATTTCCGATAAAGATATAAAACAATACAATTATCTAATAATCCACAGGAAAAATAAATAATCAATAAATACATCAAACATAGTTGATTATTAGCTCTCACAAAATGTTGTTAACATATTGTATTCAAAAATGCGTTTATTAAATATTACTTTTCCAGAAAACAAGTGATAATATTATTTTTATTATCTCACCTGGGTTGTTATCATAATAACATTTGTTTTTAAAGGATATTATTACAAGATATATATAGGTATCCAAAAATAGATCATTATAAGTTGCCACAAGAATTTAGATAACACAACATCATTATTGTCTTTAACAAAGCATCCATTCATTAATTTCCTCTGTACCAATAATTAGATTTTTAAAGAAACAAGTTAAATAGAGAGGCCCTAAACCTAACCAAACTTTGTAGAAACATTAATTTTATTATATCAGGTTGTAGTCTATACAGGGTGTACCATTTTTTTATATTTTTTATTATATTGATTTTATGGAAAGCACTGTTCATTAAAATGTTGTATCCTATGTTATAGGGCTTGTTTCTCTCTACAATTTCCTATCTCACAATGTACCGTTTGTGTCCGGGAAGGGTTCATAGTTTCATAGTTGTCGATTTTCGAAAGAAGTCAGTACATGTGTATTATTTCGTATATTTTTCATTTTATTGATTTTATGGAAAGCACTGCTCATTAAAATGTTGTATCCTATGTTATAAGGCTTGTTTCTCTCTACAATTTCTTGTATCACAATGTACCGTTTATGTCGGGGAAGGAATCATAGTTTCATAGTTGTCGATTTTCGAAAGGAATCAGTACATGTATATTATTTCGTATATTTTTCATTTTATTCATTTTATGGGAAGCACTGTTCATTAAAATGTTGTATCCTATGTTATAGGGCTTGTTTCTCTCTACAATTTCCTGTCTCACAATGTACCGTTTGTGTCGGGGAAGGGATTATAGTTTCATAGTTGTCGATTTTCGAAAGAAATCAGTACATGTATATTATTTCGTATATTATTCATTTTATTGATTTTATGGAAAGCACTGTTTATTAAAATGTTGTATCCTATGTTATAGGGCTTGTTTCTCTCTACAATTTCCTGTCTCACAATGTACCGTTTGTGTCGGAGAAGGGATCATAGTTTCATAGTTGTCGATTTTCGAAAGAAATCGGTACATGTATATTATTTCGTATATTTTTCATTATATTGATTTTATGGAAACCACTGTTCATTAAAATGTTGTATCCTATGTTATAGGGCTTGTTTTTCTCTAGACATAGAACTACTACGAAATTAAAAAAAGTTAATTGAACACAATTAACCAAAAACACCCGGTATATTTTCTACTTATACTTATTTTTTCTGAGCTTTACGTAGCTATATTGTCATAAAAAAAGACACGTTTATTAAATAAAACTGTGAACTTGCGCTACAATGTGCTGTTGAATTATTAATTACCTTATCCTGATTAGTTAATGTAACGTTTTCTATTGCATCTAATTTAAATGACTTGTAATTACCTCGATGAATATTGATAATTAACAAGCCGTCCCGAGATATTATATCGGTGATTCCTCACTGGAATAGACAGACTGCCTCTTCATTATCAGAGTACTTGATTAATATGAATAATATTAAATAATATAGTAATTATTGGGAAACCTGGAAATCGTCCGATTTTCACCAAAATTGGTATACACTCTATTTTGAGGTCGTAGATTACGAATCTGAAACTTTTTTTCTAGCGATCTCTTACCGTTTTCCAGAAAAACGAAAAATTATTTCAGCATGGAATTTTTCTAAATTTCTCATATTTTTAAAGTTTTCTAGCACATATTTTGTTAGGTATTCAATAAACAATGATGTTTTTGCTATTTTCTGTTACTTTTTTAACCAATTCTATGCATAATAGAGGAAAATTTGCTAAAATAAATTTGTAAACAATCTAAAAATGTTGGGTTAGGTGTTTCCTGGCATTTAAAGCAACGTTGCCAATGCTAAACCTAAATTTAGCGTGTTTTTTTCGCTCTTCTGGGATTACGAAAGGCGGTCGCCAGAAGAAACGGCTCCTTCCCATAACTGCTATTTTACCAACGAGATCTGACTATTTATAACCACCAAGTTGCACGAAAGAGTTTTGATTGCATTGGTTACAATTTTCATGCGGAGGGTGTTAATCTTTTGCTGTTATATTATATCAAAAAAAAGATTAACCCCCTCCACAAAGAAGTTCAAACCAATGCAATCAAAACTCTTTCGTGCAACTTCGTGGTTATAAATAGTCTTTATATAACTCCTTTGCGAAGGGGGTTAATCTTTTTTTAATATAATATAACAACAAAAGATTAACACCCTCCGCATGGAAGTTGTAACCATTGAAATAATAAATTATTGCCAGATCTCATAATAGGTAATTTATTTAAAATCCCTAATCACCCGAAAAAATAGAACTTATGGCAACGTTATAAATTTTCAAATTTCTAGATTAGGTCTAGAATATATTTATCTCTCTCATTACGTAGGAGAGAGAAAGAAGGATATATGAAATGTCAAAACTTCCATCTGGTCTCAATTTTCTTTGTTATTTTATTAAGATAAGTGTTTTTCAGTAAAATTTCGGACATTTTTCTATACTCAATCAAGTGTGGCTTTTAGATAAACTATAATATAATGAAAATATAGTGAAATTATTACTTTATAGGGCCGAAATAAAGAAAAATTCAATGTTGAAATTATTTTCCGTTTTTCTGAAAAACGGTTAAAGACCGCCAAGAAAAAAGTATACAAATTTTGGCGAAAATCGGACGATTTCCAGTTTTCCCAATAATTACCAATAATATGAATATAACTCTTTCTACAGTATGTGTTTGTATTCTCTTTTTTTATTATTAACTTTTTGAGAAAAATGCACTCTTCATAAAAGCTTTTGCTTGTTCTAAGATGATTAATCCCGTTTATACTTTTCCAAATTTTCATACCGCTTTAGAGCAAAATATAAAAAATATGAAAATATAATAAGAAAAATATGGTTACGTTATTATTTTGAAATTTCTAATACAATAATGACGAATATATTTTATAATTAAATTAGTGTGATATCCAGGCTGTCCATATACTTGATGAATTGAATGAAGATTTTTTTTTGTTTCCACCGTTCCTTAATTATGTTTTTAATTTTTAAATTTTTGTTTATTACTTTTGGTCAATGCTAATTTGTATTTTTGTTTTGTTTTTTCTCCTTTTCTTATCCATACTTTTTTTTCTACCGATTTTTCAGGAAGCAGCTCAAAGATACACCGACACTAGCTGGCGTCTCTATAGCCAAAACCAAAAGCACCGCGCACCGTGCATTTACGCATCGGAAAACAACGCTCAGTCCGAGCCGATCGACCGGCCCGATGGCGTCGATCGGCTGGACTCGAGCAAATCCGCCCCCACTACCGATGCGCAGAACACGCCCGAACGGGTGACGGACACGCACGAAAACGACCAAAAACGACACGATGCGCAGCAGCAGCCAAGGCAGGGGAAAGTGGTGCAAATCGAGACGGTCGAGGTGCTGTACGAGCCGATTAGGAGTAACGGGCATACGGAAACGGTAAGGGAAGATTCTGTGTGGTGATGGTACTAACAAACGTGTGGGGGGGGGGTTATGCTACTAACATTGCTCGCTGCTTGTTTTACGGTGTCTTGTTGTTTTTTACTGTATGTATAATGATGACAGTTTTTAGGTTGAAAGTCATCTAACTGTGAATATTTGAAAATTTCATTAAGAATTATGATCATTTTAATTAATACTAAACTAGAGCTAATACCTTCGAGGTTTTGATATAACCCCAAAGGTTCCAACCCACAACTATAATAGTTACTCTAGTAGACTTGGTTTTAAGTTTAGTAGGTAAGTATAATAAGTATTGTTGTTTTAATTGGACATGCTACAGATCAACTTCTGTACTTAAAACAATCTATACTAGATTAACTGCCAATAAATAATAATACTTTTCAGTGACACTGACATTACAAAAACAGAAACAATAAGCACTATGTCATAGATGAATTGATTAGCAATAAAGGCAAAGTATGCTTTAATGTTAAAATTGCTTTAAATCGTTACTGTCTTCCAAGTTCTCTTCTAAAGCAAATATTTCCAACAAAAAAAATCTGTTGAAAACAAATTATAGAGAAAATATGCACCTTAACATGGAGGTATTACCAACTTTCGCCAAAGTAATAACAGACTGTGATCCCTTGTTTAAGAGACAAATGGAGATTTCAATTTTTAATTTAAAAATACGTTAAAAAGTCAAATTATTTAGCTAGAAATTGCTTAAAAAATCGTCAAAATTGACACACTAGAACTAAATATATTTTTCCATAGCAACTGTTAAAATTGCCTTATATCTATCAAAAATAGTAGATAAAATAGTACTTTAACCGCAAGGGTAGATTAAATGATACTTTAACAGCGAGGATAGGTTAAAAACTTTATTTCTTCTCGCACGTTTTTTAATTGCTTCCATTTTTGAACATTTTTGTATTCCTTTTCATAAGTTATTCAGGATTTAAATGGAAGTAGTTTGGATATGGCGTTTGTCGCCTCAGCCTGAATATCTGTTGGTAATTTACTTATTTCGTTTTGAGCCATTTCTGGCTCCAATTCAATCAGCAATCGACACGAAAGAGAATTAAAGAATATTGACTCAAAACTGACAACTAAAAAGACAGCTTTATTTATTTGTCAAATTACATAGAAACCAACGCCAACCCAGCACAATATTTTTTCTACTCATAATAAATTCCTTGAAATAATAATTTCTGAATATTTTTTAAAACGTAACTCGCTATGGAAAAAAAATATTGTTTTATACACGACGATAAAATTGCATTTTATCGTCTTGTATAAATAATAACTATAATTTTATAGGGTGCTTATAGATTTTATCCATTTTATAAAAAGCTACTCACAATAGTGTCACCTGATTTACAACAACTTCTTAGAAAACAGAATATGTAAAATTCGCTATAATCAAGCAAAGAATCTCCAGTTTTTCCGCTTGTAAATTCATCGGCAAAGTTGACACAACTACACCACACGAACCTTATCTTTGTTCCACTTTTATTTAGTTTGTAGTTTCGTAAACAGTTAGTGTCAGTTTCGAACGGATTACGAGATGATCTTCTGTCTTAAATAACATCGGAATTTAGTGCTAGGTATTTTAATGTTCGTGTTTTGTTTTCAAAATGAAAGAGGGAGTTGTAGCAACGGAATTCCTGTATATCGGAGTCAATTGGGTGAGTCCAGTTATTTTTTAAGGTTCCATTTTATTTTTTAATTTTTATTTTTTCTGACTTCTTACCTTTACCTATATTACAATAAATGTTCGTAAAGGCCTGGTGAATTTCAGTTGATTTCAAAAAATTCCGACATCAGCCCACTCTACGGCAGAAATCAGAAATTTTGGCTACTTATTCTTAGTTTTAATAACTGCACTAGCAAAAAATTAAAATACTTAAATTTTATGACATTTAAAAAATTTGAAAGTGTCAAATTATCTACATTTCTTCCCTCTTCTATTTCCCTCATCTATTTCCCTCACCCATTTCCCTCACTCGGTTTTTCTAATTTTTCGCCTCATTTAATTAAGCAAATCTTGTAATATCCTTATTAAATACTTATCTAACATCATCAAAAATAAACGAGAAGATTAACAATAATAATTGAAGATTTTAATACATTTATTTGTTGAAGGTAAAAATGCTAGACTTCTTTGGCTTAAAACCTACATTCTGGCGTTTTAAAAAAGCGACCAGTTTGTGATATTTTGATATGTCAGTCTTTTCCCTTAATTCTAGCATTGTCCGTATCATGCTGTACGTAGCCCAAAGAGTAGATGGCTTTTTCTGCTTTGCCATGTCGCTAAAATATGCCATCAAGACTGTTTCCGAAGCAATATTCTTAGCATTTCTTTCGGCACATCATTTTTCGTATACTTTCAATGCTATTTCATATCGCCCCCTATTTTTCTCTGGAAGTAAATTGGCTTCTGTTCTTTTTGCAGCTTCTGTAAGTTCTGGTGGAGTACCAATATTAAAGTAGTCTTCATTATCAGAACTTTCCGACAACATTCTGGCTTTCTATGTTATATAAATTCGAAAAAGCGAACGAGAAATTCAACACTGTCAATTAGTTGTTTGTTTTGCTGTTGAAGGTTTGCGCCATAACAACCACTGATACGGGTAACTATAGATATGGAAATGCCAAAGCAGAAAACGACAATATTTCGCATTTTTTTTTCAAAATAAAATACCGTCCCTATTTGTTAATTATAGTAAAAAAAAAATAATAAAACTGTACCTTAATCAAAGTGCGTCTGTTCGCGTCCAATCTGAACTGACAAGAGCAGTGGATATCAAACGAGGACTTAGACAGGGATGTGTTCTTTCACCACTCCTTTTCAACGTCTACTCAGAGGAAATCTTTATCAAAGCCATCGAAAATGATGCTGGTGGAATACTAGTTAACGGCATACCACTGAACAATTTGCGCTACGCGGACGATACAGTCTTTCTCGCTGAAAACATGCAAGACCTTCAGAATATGTTAAGTAAAGTCATCACAACTAGTCGAGAATATGGTCTGACACTCAATGTTAAGAAGACCAAATACATGATTGTCACTAAAACTGGAGTACCCAATGAACATCTGTACGCGGAAGGCTAGGAGCTCGAAAGAGTAGAGAGGTATGACTATCTGGGTACAAGTGTCGACTGCACCGCGGATTATTGTTCAGAAATAAAGATTCGCATTAAGAAGGCCCGTGCATCCTTTGTGAAGATTAAGAAGCTGTTCTGTAGCCGCGATTTGAGCCTAGATCTGAGAACTCGTATGCTCAAATGTTATGTATTCCCAGTCCTTTTGTATGGTATGGAAGCTTGGACCCTCAACGAGCTTTGCGAGCGAAAACTGGAGGCCTTCGAGATGTGGACATACCGTAGGATGTTGAGAATACCATGGACAGAACATGTAACCAACGTGGAGGTTCTGAGAAGAATGAGGAAGAGCGTAGAGATCCTCAAGGAAGTGAAAAAAAGAAAATTGCAATATCTCGGCCATATCATGAGAGGTCCAAGGTATGAGATTTTGCAACTCATAATCCAGGGAAAAATTGTAGGAAAAGATCTGTTGGAAGGAGAAGAATATCCTGGCTTAGAAACCTGCGAAAATGGTTTAATGTCACGTCATCTGACCTATTTAGGGCCGCAGCTTCCAAGGTCAAAATAGCAATGATGATAGCCAATCTCCGATATGGAGACGGTACATAAAGAAGAAGATTTGTTAATTAATGATGTGGTTGTAAATAAAATAGTATACAAACCTCGGAGGAAAGTTTTCATTATTGTCTCGAGATTAGTTAATCCCTCGACAGTAATGAAACACTTCCCTCCTCGGTATGTAATATACTATTGTTAACTAGTGGTTAAACATTCGAATTCAAATGAAAAAAATATGAAATTAGAAAAATATTTGCAAATGAATTGTCCAATATTCTGTATAAATAACTTTATTTTTTTTGTTTATTTAATTATAATAAAGAAAAAAAGCACGTTCCTAGGCCCTGACCTGCTGGTTTTGACCTTGCGACTTGAGACGGTCTCAAGTTGGGTTCGCGCATTCTGCTGATTTTGTCAGGAAAGGAGACATTCAAGACCTCAGAGTGATAAAAAAGGCATAATATGTATTTGGTATTGATGGGATAACTCGAGCGATAATTCGCTCAAGTACTCGATTATTGAAGTAACCGACATCGCTCGATTATGAACGAGCGATACAAGTGACGCCCCGTGACGAGTACCAAGCGACGAACGCAAGCGATCCTAGAATGAAATAAATTGAAATCCGATTTTAATGTGACCTACTCGATAAAAAGCCGAGCGAATTTTCTACATATATTGCAGGTAGCAAATTTATCCGACGCCGTATATACCGGGTGCATCTCAAAAGTGGCTCACCCCTATTACTTTTTTATTTTTTTAGATAAAAAAAGGAGATTTGGTATGTTAGTATATGACATAAATTAGGATTGATTGCCGTATTCAATTGTTTTCTGCCACTTCCTGTTTCACCGGAAATAACTACAATTTTTATTTTTAAATGGCACCCTCGGTATTTTTTTAAATTATTCGATAGAAAATGACATTCGAAATAGAATGATGTGTCATATGTCAACTTTTGACATGTTCGCTTAAAAACAAATTGTATTTTAAATTTCAATGTAGAGTGCCATGCCTGTGTTAAAAACACTAATTTTTAATCAGGGAGCCTTCGAAAAATAGATTTGATCGTCTAATGTTTTTAGTGTCTTGCCCTGGCCGATTAAAAGATGCCCAAATCGTATTTTTGATCATATCTCAATTTTTTTCAAATGGAACGAGGGTGGATCATTAGCATATTTCGAAAAAGAATTTTTTACGAATAATTTGATACCACACACTTGGTACTTCGAGTCAAATTGTCATTATGAACCGCATGTTACAATTTCAAATAAACCATATGCGAAAATGTCAAAAGTTGACATGTGATATGTCATTCTTTTCAAA